AGTCGACTAATTTTTTACTGCGTTCGTTACCCCAATAAGCTTCCTTCCTGACCTGACTGAAAGCGATTCCCCGGTGTAAAGAAGGCTTTTTTTTTTTCAATTTCATCTGAATGTAGTTAAACAACATTTCTTGGTCAGCTTTGCTATTGAAACAACACCAGTTTATGAATGCTGATCTAGCGTTTCTGATTTAACTTGGTAACTGTAGCTAGCGGTTTGATTGGTCAATAGGTCTATAATGACTAACAAGTGATCGTGGGCACCTTCGTGCCCAGTGAAAGTTTGAACGCTCGTGCATGGCTAGCGAATGAGGGTGCGCCAAGTCCGTAGACTTGAATGGTTAATTAGGGTGCTCCAAGTCCGTAGACTTGCATCGTTTTCCATCGTAAATAAAATGGTTAATTAATGCCTTCCTAAGGAAAGCATCGACATGGGATCAGGTTTGTTCCACTCTATACTAATTTTTTGCGATTTTTCTACCAAGTTTGATGAAAAACGATTGTGCCGTTTCGGCTACCCAGAACAGACAGACAGACGGACACACGGCTAGTCCTATAGTATATGAGATGATATATTCATTATAATAAGGGTCCCAATATCGTCTTCTAATATCTAATATATCCATAAAACTACACCAAATTTTCCTCAAACTTCAACTACCAAGATTGTTAGGCACAGTTCACTATGTCTGGTTACTACCACACGACGTTCAAACATATAAAACGTTGGTCTGATAGGTGGAAGTTTTAACCCTCCGAATACCTGCAATGAATGCGCATGCGTGGAGCCCAGAGAAGATTTAGCTTCACTTGATTTATCTACCGAGAAGCGTCTATTTCGGGCCAGTCAGTGGTGGGGTTGGGGGAGTGGGGGGTGAGGAAGGACGGCATATTGTTCCTGCCAGTCGTACGAAGTCGCTTCTGCTCGGCAACGTGTGTTTGTGTTCATTTCCACAATCGACAAAAAACAACGGCAAAGTAAAGTTTCAAAAGTCTTTATACAGTTTTTCCCTTTAGGGTGATATCATTTGTTTGTTGTTGTGCTACTGCCAGCCGTACGACTCGTTTCCTACAGACAATGATTGTGGGTAACTCTTTTGTGCAGGTTATATAAGTAAAGGGCAAATGTCTGATTTCTAAGATCTCTAACTGCCTTTCGAGGATCAGCCCGAGTTTACCATTCTTCTCTGTACCTTTATTTCACTCATTCTCTGCTTTTCTTCGGTGCTGCCAGACGTATAATTAATTTTTCCTTAGCGGAGTTTGTATATTTTTCTGGACAAAGTCAATATAAAACAAACACAAAGATATAATGAAACATTTACTGTCCCCTTTCACCATGGTATAATTTATTTATCACCTTTATGTTGGTCTTGGATACAAAACGGTCTTACAAAAACTGTACCGCATGTTATAGCTCCGCCACTCTTAACACAATAAAACCACCCGGTGAGTCGGAGTTTTATAGCTTCGTTTTAACATTTACTGTCCATTCTCAAGAGTTTCCTGTTCGTTTTCAGACAACACTTGCTTCTGATGGATTTATGGCTGCGTTTATCAGCTATGTTCAATAAGTTCTCTGTATTCTCTTGCTGATCTGACTGATGGATGTTATTCGTGCGTAAGGCTGTTCTATGTTAATCACTGTTATGATCGTCTTGTTACTTGCAAAAAAAAAATCTTTGATTGCTTCTGCAATTTATGTGAAAAAATAAAATGTCAACTGGTAGAATTCATAAAATAATCATGTACTGTATTCATAATGCTTAATTTTCTGTGTGTATTCTTAGGTAGTTAAAATTAGACCCAAAGATACTGGGAGATATCAGCTGTCATGGCAGAGACCACCTGACAAGTTTTTCTTGGCAAGTGTAATAACATTAATAATAATAAAATGTCTCGTGCTGCAATTCTACTCCCTGGTATTAGAGCATCTCCCAACTATTGTATTAAACACCACTGTACGGTAAAGTCTGTGTCGTTTTGAACTTTATTACTGTATCAGACATTAAATGGAAAATTGAGTGAGAAATTAACGTACGATACGTTAAGCTCTGCACTACGAAACGCCACTTTAGATATTTAATTGAGTATCGCTAGACAATATTAATCAGGTAGCAGGTAGTAGGCAGCTAGCAAACAGGCAGGTACTGGAAGCACAATGTGTTGTCTAATGGTGGACCCTGCTGCCATATGGCATCACGTAAACTGTGACCAAGTCTCAGGTTGCTGATCTGATTTTCTGCCTCATTTACACACAAATGCAGGTCTCAATTGTTTCTTTTACTTGACAACAACATACATATAGCATTTCTCACTTATGTTTTTTTTCATTTTTGTATTTCTTAATATTTTTTATTATTAGTATTATTATTACAGTGTCATTAATATTATTGTTATCATTATTATTTTATTTTACTTTTTATTATAAATTTTATTTACTATGAATAATTATTACATTTTCGCCCCCCCAGGTCCCGATGTGGGTCAGAGACCTGTGCCCAGGTGGGCAAATCCCCGTAAAAAAATTAAAAATAAAATAAAAATTCAGCAAAGACTCCTTGTACTGAAGGTGGGGGGGAGAATTACACCTACGTACAGTCTCGTTCAAGATTCTTCGAACACTGCTGGAGACAGCTGGCAACTGAAGGCCGTTTGTTTACTATAGTACGTAGTAAAAATTATGAATGTAAAATTTGATCGACAATTGGTTACTTAGTTCCCCATTGCTTAATTAATGGTTGGGCTTTTTTGTTTCGTATTATATTATACTACGTATTATAGTAAACAAACGGCCTTGAGTTGCCAGCTGTCTCCAGCAGTGTTCGAAGAATCTTGAACGAGACTGTACCTTTGTAAACCAGACAGCCCTCCTAGGTCTTTTTACTTTTGTCCTCTTCACCACTGATCGGCTCGTTAGCCGCTTGGGCGGTCGGTCACTTCTCTGTTACGCACTGTTGGCAAGTACTGGGCATGCACTGGTTCCTGAATGTGTCTGAACCTGCTCCAGTGCTGGTCAAGTCTGGTCTTGAAACACAGCTCACACTCGGTGCCGTCACAACACTCTGGCAAGTTGTTCCACGAGTTCACAACTCTCACTCCGAAAAAGTTAGCCCTCGCAGTTTTCTGGACTTCAACCAAGAGCTGTGACCCCTTGTGGGGCGAGCATCCGCCAGCTCCAGGTAAGGGCACTCGACTGAGTAGTGTCCTTTGAGATGTTTATACACCTCAATTAGGTCCTCCCTTGCCCGTCTGTAGTATAAGCTCGACAATTTCAGGCGCTCTAATCTCTCAAGGTAGCTGAGGCATGCAGGCAGGCACCAGTCTGGTGGCCTTCCTTAGGACATTTTCAATCAACTCACAGTCCCTAGCATGTCTTGGGGACCAGACAGGGTGACAGTACTCCAGGTGGGGAAGCACCTCGCTCTTGAAGTCATGGGTACCAGTCCTGCTGGTCCGGGACACAAGTTTGAAGGGTGGTATCAGGTGTGATTCAATACCTGAGACTAAACGCTCTTCTCGGTTCGTGTATTCGCAGGCCGTGCAAGACTGCCATCAAATAGAAAGTGATGTAGTCAACAGCACGACGTAAGATCGGAGGTTACTGTGTTGAACCCCGAGGATGACGTTAGGCGTGGGCTACACGTTTTCCCAATTGGCTGAAAGGTTTGTTTATTTACTTGCTAGGCAGATAATTATTGTCGAGCAAAAGAACGTTTATAACTCGTGAACGCCGAGTAAATATTCCAATCGTTCCTATTGGCAGCATGGTGATCGAGACTGATAAAATGTCTGTGGTGAGGAAAGAAGTAAAAGAAGCATTATTAAGTTTTATAAGTTTTTGCTTGAATGTCATGGTAATCAATACTATAATTTTTCCTTCTTCATATATATATATATATATATATATATATATTTTAGCTTTTCGTTTATTGGCAATTTATGACATTCTTTGAGCTTTGTTAATATACTTTTCTTACATCCCCTGCTGGTTTTTCATCTTGTATATGACAGCTCTCGGGTAGCCAGCAGTATAGACTGAAGGATAATAGAGTGGGATCGTGTTTCATAGGAGGAACCGTCTGCCAAGACTTCTTGGCAGTATCGTTAGATAAACTAATTTGAAAGTAAAGTAAATGTTCCTACAATTGTTCTGTTTATTGATATTGGCATCCGTCAACCACTTTCCCATCATCATATCTAAGATCGAAAAATTAACAACTAATAATGGCATTAAATCATATGAAAGAAAATTGTCGAGAAGCCGAGTGTATAGTATTCAATGGAGCCAACATGCAAAGTAACATTAATAAATGTGTACAAAGAAGTTTAAAGAAATACAAAACACACAACGCTTACCAAAAGTAGGCAGCAAAAAACAGAGAATGGTAGAATATGGTAGTAAACCTTGGTTATTTCTTAACATTTGCCGTTTGGTGTCTCAAATGATAGTCTTATTTGGGACACAGAAAATATGTAACACCGCCCCAAATTGTTAGAAGTAACGTGAATACAAACGGAAGGCTGAATCTTTCCAATAATTAATCAACTACCAATCCTAACATCCGCCGAGAAATTATATCGCTTGTGTCCTATAGGTCAGTTTTCGGTTCCTTGGTTGGTCAGTGTATGCTCCTCCACTTGTCCAGTTCCAGGAGTTCATAGTTGAAGCGTTACCAGTACTGTTTTGATGCCTTCGATTGTACAGGAAATGTTGATAGTGAATCTTTTGGTGTAAAAACCAACATAATGTCAACTCTGAGCTCACTTTAGGGATTTAAAAGCAGGCATTACAGTGATTTTCAGGCCTTAGTCACATTATTAACTCTTTTTGTACTAAATGGCCTCCAAGTTATTATTATTTCAAATACGAAGCCTCGAACTGTACTTGCAAGTCCCACTGATCTGATCATGAAAGAAGGATCCTGTTGACATTTTCTCTGTCCATCTCTTTCTGTTAAGCATAGGATATTAATTTTAACCAATTGTTCTTGGCCACAGGATGTCGTTCCGGGATAAGGGCGTGAGGAAAGCGTGTTGGGAGTCTCGGGACAGGTACTGGGCGTGCCTCGATCTGCCAGACATCAACCGTGATCACTGCCTCGAGCTGCGACGCCTCTACGAGATGGCCTGCCCCGGACACTGGGTGAGTTACCCCTCTAACTTATTGTCACTTACAGAAAGCATCAGTAATATCTCCATTAGCTGGAATTCCTCTTAACTGGAACCCTCCGATAGCCGGAATTAAAAATTTTTCAGAAAATAGTTCCCAAAAATGGAATTTTCCGGAAAATTCCGGCTTTAGGAACAATTTTCCAAGGAGCACATTTTCTGTCAAATTCTAAGAAAATTTCCCCAGTACCTGGAAAATTCTGGAGATATGGGAGTTTTTCCTGGGTTTGAGAGAGGAAAATCATGCCCATTTTCCGGAAATTCCAATAAAAATTTTCCTGTACCCGGAAAATTCTGGAGATGGGGATATTTTTCCGGTTTCGAGAAATGATGTAATGCACAATTTCTGGAACTTCTCAGAACATTTTTCTGTTACCCGGAAAATTCCGGGGATGAGGGATTTTTTCTGGCTTTGAGAGAGTCGTCTCGTTACCCCAAAATCTCTCATTCCCGTAAGTGCTCTACACCAATTATTCTGGTTAATGGAGATATCACAATAATAATAACAATAATAATAATAATTCACTAAAACCATCATGCAGGTACACGGATGGTTTAGCATGTATTTGACATATGCAGGCATACAGTTCAGCATGTGTATAAACACTGCAGGTATACAGTGTACATAGACTGTGGAGGTACACAGTTTCCAATGTAACTTAGCGCAGATATAAAACAATAGTAAACATTAAGGTAGTTTAACCAAAGATAGCCGACAAAGTCATCAGATCCTTATTCCCAGTATGGTCTTTTGCTTTAATCAGTAAAAGGATATTAACCGGGACAAAAGTGAGTTTGTGTTTTATAAATATAACAAGCATTATATTATAACCTTTTATTTTTATTTCCTCATCCGTGACAGCTACAAATCTGACTTGACATATTTGACAGCAATGACCTCGAATTTAAGTGTAAATGATGCAGGCCACTAAGTCTAAAACACTCACATTCGTCAAACTTACGATCTGCTGTTGTGTATGTCGGTACTCGTGGAATAATCTGTTGAGCGTTTAGACACATATTACACACAGGGTCGAGAATTGCACCACTAGATATCCACCCATTCTTTATAGCACGGCTTCAGCTATTCATTCCCTTTGTGCAGTAAATACAAACAAAAACTCTCATTTTCTTCTGATACCAACACGACGAACTTAAGTGTAAATATTCTGTTCAATAATGTTAAATCTGACAAATTCTATCAGTTCTTGTAATTGGTTTTACGGGAAATTGTGACCATATCTGTTAGATTTAGAAATTGACGTGACAGAAGGTTTGTGTAGCATAACCATTTTATCAGGGGTGGACTGTGGCAAGACAGGCAAACAGAGGGTGGAGTGTGGCAAGACAGACGGACAGAAAGACAGATAGAGATAGATATAGATAGATAGAAATATTTCCATAAAATAGTGCTCGGGGCAGTGGGAAATCTTTCTGATATAAATCAAATAACCCGCCATCGAACTGTACGTTAAGAGTTAAAAGAAAAATTTTAAAATAAAATTTATATTTGGGTTTTTTTTTTCTCGAGTCCTTCCCCTTATACGTCTTGGAGTTAAACTTTGGGACCCATAGGGCACATCCTCCTGTTGCGTCCTAATGTGGCCAACCTCCTGCTAGCTTTCTCTCCCCTTCTTCCTCCTCAAAGAGTCCACTACAGCAGCTTTAAGGAGGGAGGGACACTGAGCTCCTCCCCTGTACAGTACACCACTCTACTATAACGTCACACTGAACAACTTGTTTCGCCCTCAGGTGAAGCACTTTGACCGGAAGCGACAATATATGGAGTTCAAGGAGCGGATACACTCGGTAGGGTAAGTGTGTGTGGCTGAGCCTAGCTGCTGGATGGCCTTAGTTACAGCTAGGATGTATGGATGGCTTAACTTAGCTGCTAGGATGGCCTCAGCTACAGCTAGGATGTATGGGTTGCTTAGCCTAACTGCTGGATAGCTTAAGCTAAGATGTATGGATTGCTGAGCCTAGCTATTGGATAATCTAAGCTGTAACTAGGATGTGTGAATGTCTGAGCCTGGTTGCTAGAATGGCATTAACTGCAATTATGATATGGTTGTGGCTACCAGGATGGCTTTGCTGCAGGTAAGATGTGTGTAGCAGCAAGGATGCCTTACCTATTGATGTATGTCTGGTGAAATCTAGCTTTCAGGATAGTCGTCGCTGCAGCAAAGATGTGTTACTGAGCCAGCCTATAGTTCCTAATACAGCCTTAACCGCGGCTAGGATGTGTGTGTGTAGACGCTAGGAACACATTAGCTACAGATGTTCTCAGTGTGAGAACAGCTCACTGCTGAGGTCGAAGCTAAAACCTACCGCTGAAAGGTACATAAGTAACAGTCAGAGGAACTTTGTTTAGCTGCTGACGAAGGGCTCCGGCTTCCTACTGCTGATTCCTGCTTATAGTTCTGCTTCCTGGGTCGGGTGCTCACGCTACTACTGTGCGTGTGTGGGGGGGGGAGAGTGTGTGTGGGGGTGTGTGGGGGAGTGTGTGTATGGGGGAGTATGGGTGTGTGGGGGAGATGGAGTGGTGTGGTAGTGGGGGTGTGTGGAGTGTGTGTGGGGAGGTGTGTATGGGGTGTGTGGGGTGTGGTGTGAGTGGTGTGTGGAGTGTGTGTGGGGAGTGGTGTGAGATGGGGGTGTGTGTGGAAGTGGTGTGTGTGTGGTGTGTGGGGGGGTAGTGTGTGTGGGGAGGGTGTGTATGGGGTGTGTGGGTGTGTGGTGTGTGTGGGGGGGGTGTGTGTGTGGGGTGTGTGTGTGGGGAGTGGTGTATGGGGAGTGTGTGTGTGTGGGGGGTGTGTGTGTGTGGTGGGGTGGTGTGTGTGAGTGGTGGTGTGGTGTGGGGGAGTGGTGTGTGTGGGGGGGAGTGTGTGTGTGGGGGTGTGTGTGTGTGGGTGTGTGTGGTGTGTGTGGGGCAGTGGTGTGTGTGGGTGGTGTGTGAGTGGTGTGTGTGGAGTGGTGTGTGTGGGGTGGTGTGTATGGGGTGGTGGGGGGTGTGTGTGTGGGGAGTGTGTGGGGAGTGGTGTGTGGGGGGGTGTGTGGGGTGTGTGTGGTATGGGGGGTGGTGTGTGGGGGAGTGGTGTGTGGGGGAGTGGTGTGTATGGGGTGTGTGTGGGGGAGTGGTGTGTGGGGTAGTGTGTGTGGGGGAGTGGTGTGTGTGGTGTGTGGGTGTGTGTGGGGGGAGTGGTGTGTGTGGGGTGGTGTGTGGGTGGTGTGTGTGGGGGAGTGGTGTGTGTGGGGAGTGGTGTGTGGGGAGTGTGTGTGTGTGGAGTGTGTGTGGGGGTGGTGTGTGGGGTGGTGTGTGTGTGGGGGTGTGTGTGGGGTGTGTGTGTGTGTGGGGAGTGGTGTGTGTGGAGTGGTGTGTGTGGGGGAGTGGTGTGTGTGGTGGTGTGTGTGGGTGGTGTGTGTGGGTGTGTGGGGTGTGTGGGGGTGTGTGTGGGTGTGTGTGTGTGTGGGGAGTGGTGTGTGGGGAGTGTGTGTATGGGGTGTGTGTATGGGGGAGTGTGTGTGGGTGTGTGTGTGGGGGAGTGTGTGGGGGAGTGGTGTGTGGGGGGTGGTGTGTGTGGGGGTAGTGTGTGGGGTAGTGTGTGTGGTAGTGTGTGTGGTGTGTGTGTGGGGGGTTGTGTGTGGAGTGGTGTGTGGGGTGTGTGTGGGGTGGGTGTGTGGGGAGTGGTGTGTGTGGGGAGGTGTGTATGGTGTGTGGTGTGTGTGGGGTGATGGGGTGTGTGTGGGGGAGTGTGTGTGGGGGGGGTGTGTGTGTGGTGTGTGGGTGGTGTGTGTGAGTGTGGGTGGTGTGTGTGTGTGGGGGTGTGTGTGTGGGTGTGTGTGTGTGTGTGGTGTGTGGTGGAGTGTGGTGTGTGTGGGGTGGTGTGTGTGGGGTGGTGTGTGGGGGGTGTGTGTGGGTGTGTGGGTGTGTGTGTGTGGGGAGTGGTGTGTGTGGGGGGTGGTGTGTGTGGGGGGTGGTGTGTGTGGGGTGGTGTGTGGGTGGTGTGTGGGGGGTGGTGTGTGTGGGGTGGGGTGGTGTGTGTGGGGGAGTGGTGTGTGGGGGTGTGTGGGGTGTGTGTGTGGGTGTGTGTGTGGGGGTGTGTGTGGGTGGTGTGTGTGGGGGTGTGTGGGGGTGTGTGTGTGTGTGTGTGTGTGTGTGTGGGTGTGTGTGTGTGGTGTGTGTGTGTGTGTGTGAGGTTGTGTGTGTGTGTGTGTGTGTGTGTGTGTGTGTGTGTGTGTGTGTGTGGTGTGTGTATGTGAGTTGTGTGTGTGTGTGTGTGTGTGTGGGGAGAGTTGTGTGTGGGGTGTGTGTGTGTGTGGTGGGGGTGTGTGTGTGTGGGGTGTGTGTGTGTGTGTGTGTGTGTTTGTGTACGTGTGTGAGTGAGGGTGTGTGTGTGTGTGTGTGTGTGTGTGTGTGTGTGTGTGTGTGTGTGTGTGTGTGTGTGGGAGAGGTGTGTGTGTGTGTGTGTGTGTGTGTGTGTGTGAAAGGCGTACACTCTTTAACTTATTCAATGTGTCTCCTACAGACTCCGGGAGGCGGGCACACTGTCGCCGTGTCCCGCCCTTGAGTCCCCCCTCGTCAGGAGACATCGCATCTACAGCGAGGTCGTCTTCACCTAGCACCACCTGGTGACACCTTCCACCTTCACCTGGGCCTCACCTGTCTGTGCAACACCTAAATCAATATACTGTACTTCACCTGTACCTGTCTGCACGATCACCTAAATCTGTTACCAAGAGTCATTTAAATTTGGTTCCAGAATCACATAAATCTGGCCCCAGAAGCACCTGAAACTGGCAACATCATCACCGAAATCAGTGCCTGCCTGGAGGATCATCTAAGTTTGACCGCAACGCCACCTAGTTCAGCGGACAACTTCTCTAGGCACCTAGAGAAGCAGTGGCCACCTTCCCTGTTACCACCTAGTTGAGGCGGCCATTCCTACATCAGTAATGCCACCTACTGTAGTGACTCGCCTCCCTTCCCCTATCTTCAACTGCACCAGGCTTCAGTTTCACCAAACAAATGATCAAAGACTGTCTTAACACTCTCGACAAGATCACCCATATTAATGACCTCCTCTACCAATATTTTCACCTACCTTCACCTGGTTACAGAGTCATCCAGAACTGGTCATTAAGATCACCTAAACCAATGACCTCCACCACCACCTTCTCATGACCTGATCAAAATAGGTCGCGTCCCAACCCACTCGCTGTACCCACGAGTCTAGTCAACTTGTAAACAGGTTTAACTCCTTTAATTTAGCTTTACCTACGTGTTAATAAAAGGCTTAATCCCTGATAGGAAAAGGAAAATTCCATCAAGTCATTTAATTTTAAAAGTTTTACTAATAATTAAAAATATTATCCCTTTTTTTTTATCTAACTATAATAATCTTTCTATTAAGAACACTTGGCGCAATAATTGTAATTTTCATCGTTGCTTAGATTTTAAGCGACCATTCTTGTCTATAAGCAAGTTCAAGTCTTCTGTTTCACAGTAGATGTTAAAAATATCTTCTATCATCTCGGCAGGTAAAGTCAAACAGGAATATTTCCCTTTCCTCTCAGGAGAAGCCTAGTAATATACCGGTATCTCTTCCCTTACCCCATACCATGATGTGAAGCCTAATATTCTAGGTGTGAATTATAATTCTTTCTCTTCCCCTGCCAGCAGGTGAAGCCCACTATTAGGGGAATTAATCCTAGTGCTCAGCAGTGTGTGGGTAATAAAGATGTAATTATCATTCACCCAATGTGTGTATAATACTTAACATAGCTAAAGGAGCGCCAGTTAGAGTTTAACGTAACACGGTAGGTTAAGAGGTCATCTCAAAGTTCAGAGACGGCATAATAGTATTTTTAGAGTCTATATTCATACAGTATGAGCATAAAACATTAAATAGTGTTTCTCTGGAACCATAAATCACTAGTGAAAAATAAGTTGCCGTAATCTCCGGGATTCCGGCACAAAATTCATTCGGGTTAAGAAAATGCATATATCCACTCAATTCATGTAAAATTTTGTACATTATTTAGGAGTTAACTTTAGGGTTTACAATAGTGATTTTGATCATCGAGACACACTATCTTACGTCTCCTATACACATAGAGGCTCCGAAAACATTATTGAGTTACCTTTAAACCCTGAAGTAACCCTTAATGTTATCAACTATTAAGAGTGGAATGACCATTTTCATTATAGGTATATATTTTTTTTATTGTACCAGTAATTCTAATAGTATTTTTTTTATCTTTTTTCACCAAAGCACTTGCATTGATATTTCAAGTGGAATCGTTTTCTTAAAAGTTCTTACGTATAACATTAGAACACTATGCTATTCTGGTTAGCGGTCGGAAATATGTCGATATGTAAATAAACATTAGGCACATAAACTATTTAATAAATAGAATTCAAAGTTTAAGCTGCAGATACTATATTCACTTTCAAACAAACAACCTGAAAAAAATCAATGATGTGTTTGTTCAAAATTTGTTACTACAAATATAAACAGACGTAAACCTTCTTTATGTATAAACGCCAAATACCCGCATTGTATAAAAACACAAACAGGAGACACCGCTTCACCACAACAACTATATAACCCACACGCACAGCACTCATGTCACCAACAGTAACACATAAGACACCCAGAGTAATTAAAGCAGCTACAGCCTTAGAATAAATGCAAAGTGAAACGCTAATTTTAATCCCATATTCATGGTGGAATACCAAGCAGGCCAAAGGATTGGGCACCGGGTTAGTTTTTGCGATATCAGCTGATGGGAGTGTTGACTTCCATAATGGGGTTGTTGCCAAAAGTATGAGCAGGCTGCTGGTATTTGTGCACTCGTCATTAAGAATACGGGATACACATTGTGATAACATCTCAGTAATCCTGCCAAAAAAGATAAATGTTCGATATTTCTTTTTATAGACTTGGGGTGTACTTATGCGATTCGAATTTTTGTGATGTTATTTTTTCACTTTTCACATCCTAGTGAAGGTCCGATAACAGAGGTATATACGGTAATGATTTTACTGATTAAAGCGTTCGCTTTGGGTGTTTACCAAACTTAAAAGATCATCAACTGGTCATTATTGGCCGTCACCCCGGAATTCAACCAAGTAGCTAACTCAACTTGTTTTAATTTTATGAGTTGGACCAATCAGAAGGAGTCAGTGGCTCAATCAGATTAATTTTACGAATCAGGAGACGAGTCGACGCTACTGACGTCGTTCATAATGCATTACATTACTGTGAATCATCTTCTTTCACAAGGTATGTCTGTAGTCTCTTCCGTTCCAAATAATGCATATTAATTTATTGATCCGGTATGTAACGGACATTAGAATATTCTAGCCGTGTGTAATAATCAACAGATACTTTTTAGGCAATTAGGTACATGACAGAAAACGTCGCTGTGCAGCATATGGAGGGCGTCTGTCATGATAGTTCAGTAAACATGGCGTATAATCCTTGGCTCAATGTATGACGGTTCATTAAGTGTGTCACAAGCACTTATCCTTATATGAATACCTGTCATAATGCTTCTTAGTCATAAATTATCACTCGAAGCAACACACTTAATGTATATGTTATTCAGTGAACAATATTTGTTTTCATTACCAGGTTCTTTGATTTTATTTCATACTATTGTATGACAATTTTTGTGCATATATGATTATTTTGTTGGCTAATGTATTTCTTTCAGTTATGTGTGTGTGTGTGTGTGTGTGTGATTTATGAAATAGCATTGTAAAAAGTAAAAAATTGTAAATCGTACATTACTTGAAAATGAAAATTGTTTAAAATGAGAATGCAAAAAACCATAAATCAAATTAAAACATCAGCAAATCGTGAATGCGTTGAAGGACAAAATCTCTACCGAACCCAACCCAGCCTATCATTATGTCGTACAGATACATGTTCCTTCCCTTATAGTAAAGTTAGGAACAAGTGAATTGGGCAATTATCTGGTAGAAGTTTGGTCGATTTTAATGTTTTCTTGGTAGGAAGTTATCCAATGGAAAATGGTCTAGTAGAAATTTGTCTATTCTAATATTTCGGCGGTAAGAATTAATAAAATATGAAACTTTCTAGTGCGATTATGACGACGTACCTCCAAGCCTCAGATAGAGAAGCATCTGCACCTTCCTCTGATACAAGGAGTCCAGGAATAGATTTCATAGCCTAGCGGGCCACATCCGGCCAACTCCCGGCCCTTCCAAGTTTGTAGGTCATGCAGTGCACCCAAGACACAAAGTTATCATATTTTGATAAGATCACTCTATAACAAAAGGTCTTCTGCAACCAAGTTTCTTACTCAAGCCCAATTCACTGTATATCTTAATAGCATCAGCATGAAATATGACGCGTTTGGAAAAAGAGATCGATAGATATTTTATTCAGGAACAATCGCTAAATACGCATAGGTTCAACATGTATAGATATATAAATACTGACAATCGTTAAGTAGATTGTATTCTTTAGGGTCCAATATTTTCATATCAGAATAAGGTAACTTTCAAAATTGTGATATTTAGTAGAAAAAGTCGATGCATAAGAAAACAGAATATTCACAAACGACACAAGTATTTTAGAAGAAAGTGGTCTGTGTAACACACACACACACGTCTTACCTCTGATGCTTGTGGGCCCGAATGGATGTTAGCCTTGATGTAGAAGAGGTGTGCTGAAGTAGATACTATAGCCCGGATGTGAATGAACTGCGTTAGGGAAGATGCGGCTGTTTATGGATGTATGAGGTGAAAGGGCCTTTACAAGTAACTTCTCGGGCGTCTCGTAATTTGAGGTCGGTATGGCCACAAAGTCTGAAAGAAACGATAATCATTACTTGATTTTTGTAATTACTGTTAAGTCTTATTTTTGTCATTAGCGTTAGTCAATAATTGTGTATGACGTCATTTTCACTTATCGAAAAATAGAAAGCGGATAAATAGATTTAAAAATGAGAAAATAAAAAAAAGTATATACCTGCAGTATATGTATCACACTAACTAGGGATAATCGTCGATTGAGCTTGAAAACGCAGCTGACCTTTTTAAGGAATTGGCGTAAGCTTTTGTTTTTATTGCTATAACTTACCTGTAATGAAAATTAATGGGTATATGATAATATTTGCTGTGTACAATGCAAGACGTTTTATCAACTTAAGATAGCCAAATTATAACTAAAGTAGGTTAGGCCAGGTTAGGTTGGATTATATTAGGTTATGTAAGGTTTTGTATGAAGCTATTTATTTATGTGTATTCTGATGATGATCAAAATCATTTGTGGCCAACCAGAAGTTTCCAAGAGAAATGCATAAAAGTTATCGCTAATCGGTAATTATCCCTATTTTGTGAAAGACACATGACTCGTACAGTAAAGGTTTAAGGTCTTGGCTAACTATAGCTGTTGTCTTAATCACGGACAACGGTACAATATTGAACTAGATCAGAGCAAAGTCTGAACCAAAACATTCATGATTTAAAATTATTCATATAGCTGACTGACGCAGCTAAACAACAGGCTCTAATTGTCCGCAATTTCAGGTAGATGGGCTAGTAATAATACGTCACTGTTGGGCTATGGCAAGTTAGTTACACTGTCAAGACATACAATAATCACTACTATGAAGTATTTAGTAAAAGTATAAGAAACAATTTGTTTTAATAATATATATTATAATGTGTTAGCAGTATGAGTCACATCAATACGTCAGCTACAATAATTCTGCATTAACGGCCGGAAGTTATGAGTGAAATATTTATACCAATATAATGTACTATGATTTTGTAAATATTTTTTTCACAACATTTGTCTCTAACTGCGGTTTGTTCTAGATATTTAATTTAGTCCATATTTTCAAAGGATTGAATGATAAATATTCCTTGTAACAGAAGATGCGAGTATGTAGTACAGTACCAAACTAGCATCAACATTACACTTTAGGGGATGAGACTGAGTTAGGATTTGTGTTCACTGCCTTAATATTGTCTAATGCTAAGTGAACATTACCAATTAGGGTTGTCTCCGTGTAAAATTGATACTACCTTTGGAAGGTATTTTTGTACTTTCGCAGTTCTGCACATCATTATATTTTCAGATACTAGAAATATTTATCTTTCGACATTTTGATAATCTCGACTCTGAATAGCTGAAACTTGACATCTTAATATCGTTTTCTAGATTTCTAACAGACATTATAGATTTATGTACATATATAAATATATATACATATATTTTCGTAATGACTAAGATATCTCATATTGTGTGATACTTACCTAACTATAGTATGTTGATAGGCTATGTAAGTTTATAGAAACACACTATACTGTATAACTACGCAAACTGATGGTAGAGTACTGTACTATTATATAAGGGTACCATAGGCTATTATGTAGTAAAGTAAAAATGTAAACCATCGAGTGAAGGTATTGTACCATAGACTGTGATCAGTGTGGGTACCATCCATCATACATAAAATACTACAAGTTACATGGGATGTGGTACAGTATCGTGTGAAAGCAATGTGAAGGTACCATCATTATTTGGTTGTGACGGTGTACATGGTAAAACAATGGTACAGCATGCTTATGTCAAACTACTGTAAAACTGTTCATGACATAGTACACTTTAAGGGTGTATTATCAATATGTGATACGTGCCATGTTACCCCGCTTTCCCTGTGGTGTTGGCTTACGACACGTTAAAATTCAGCACGAAAGAATATATTACCCCAAAAGTAGATGAATTTGGGGAAGATTAGGCCAGCTGTGTGGTAAGGCTATCACGAGTGTGTATGACGAGTGTGGGGAGATGCTTGTGAGCCCGTCCATACTCTAGACGTGTAAAACATCTGTTGACGATGTCGTTACGGAAGTTTCTGCTCTGCCTTTCTGAGCCATTTTATCTTTGGACGTTTTAATGTAATTTTCTTTTTGCTTAGCACGTTTTAGTCTATGGCGCTATTACCCGAGGATAGTTAAGGCTAGGACGTTCTACCCTAGGCAAGTGTAACTTAGCACGCTCTACTCTAACATTTTAGCTTAACAAGTTTTATATTAGAGCACAGGAGACACATTTCGGCCAATAACACTTCAGTCTAAAACGTCTTGGCGTAAACTTTAAGCTATAAAGTGTAAAGCTGACACGACCGTGACACGTAGAGAGGCGGGATGACAATACACTTAAGCCAAACGTAAACTAATATAACAGAACCTATCCCACCCTCTCGACCCGTCCTTCTGTTTAGTGGAGTTTTCTACAACTCGCACACTGAGTTATGCCCTGCCAGTTGACCACACTAGAGCTTGGTAAGAAGGACTGGCTTAAATTCAAACGAGGCTTCAGTCACTATCCACGAAAAAAAAATTAGAAAATTTATTGATTCTTCTAGATGTTAACACCAAAAAGTTACAGGAATGGATTGAAGGGTCAGTTTAGGAATTCAAAGTTGGCACTGCTTGGTGGCCTTAGGGTTTCAAAGCGAGTTGTATGACTGTTGAAATAGGGTCCTGTTGATACTCTATAAACATCCCCTTAATAAGCTCCAAAAAATATCGTGCCTACTACACTGAACTCCTGAAATGATCCGTCAATGTAAAATAAGATAACTATGAGGGTGGTGTTATCACCGTACAGAGCTCAACACCATAACACATGAAGCTGCTGATCTCCAAATGTCAACCGCATACCCTAGCAATAAGTTTATTGGAAAGCTATTATGAAATTTTAATAGGCTTAAGTACCTTTTCACTCGTTTCTTGTACTGTCTTAGGTTTGTACTCCGGGCTCTTCATAAGTACACTGTATCTTACTGTAATGTTAGTCAGGTCCTAGGCTTGGTCTAGCTGTAAAATATTATAATTAAATTAAATTGTACTTGTTTACAATGTAATGAACATAATATCAACCTGGATGTGTATGTTTACATTGCAATAACCTACAACGCTTCGCCACAGTTTCATTTATCCTCACTGAATTACTAAACATATGTTGTTTATCCCACAGGTTCAATCTAACACCAAACCAAGGTACAGCAAACGGAATGAAACATAACATAATACTGTACATTCATTAGTTGACTTAAAGAAAAGCAATTTATCAGTTAAAACAGGCTGGGGAGGAGATTCTTCAGTTAGAACGGGGGATTATCTGTTGGCTACTCATCCCGTCACTACCAGCTGCTCCTGTCACCTTCATTTGTCACTGTTGCTTCCTTCCGTCACTGTCGGTTCCTCCTGTCACTGTCAGGCGCTGCTGTCACCTTCACATAACGGTAAAATTGAAATTTCACTACCAATTGGTTTTGGACCAAAAATCGAAGTTTTTCCCATTGTATTTGGTGATTCAATTGAATTTGTCCTTAATTTCCGTCGGAAATACAGGGCATATCTTTTTTAGTAATCACCCCCAAATGAACCTGACCAACCAAAGAACCCTACCTAACCTTACCTTACTTTCTATAGCCGAGAGGCAAGGAACCTCCCCCGCCATATTAAACAGAAAGTAATTATTTTGATATCTGGTACTAATGTAAGCAGCTTTGTTGAAGCATCATGGTGTAAGTTTACTTTTTTTTCCCAGAAAACAGCGAGGACAATTTTTTTTTCAGAGCGAAAATTGTGAACTCTTGGAACAATCTACCAGAGAACGTTGTGGCGGCAATAAGTGTGAGCTCATTCAATGCCACACTTGACCAACACGGGAGTAGGTTCCGATATATTCAAGATCTTGTGCATGCCCAGTATATGCCAACAGTGCGTATCGGAGACGTGACCGCCCAAGAGACTAACGAGCCATCAATGGAGAAGAGGATAAATGCAAAAGTAAAAGTAATAACACTCAGTTCCTCCTGTCTTTCCATGGTTAAATCAATTTACCGTTAACCATTATTTGGATACCAATACTGTCTATCTATCTATCAAATTATCTATCCATACAAACGAAAACCTGTGTATCTCTCGATGTCCCCATTTAATTATATACAGTTTCTATAAGACAAGAAGTATGACTTCTAAAAAGTAAAAACAAAAATTAATGTTTGTGGATGGTGCCAAGTTATTTAGGGAAATTAAGAACCAAGCAGACAGTGAAGAGTTGCAGAAGGATCTCTGTGAGCTTCAAGAATGGTCGAACAGGCTGTGAGGATTCAGTAGCGAAGAGGATACACCTGGAACGTACCAACGGTAAGGAGGCGTATATATCCCAACACACAGGGGTCCTAAACCCAGAAAATCTGGCCCAAACCCCAAAATGAGCAAATTTAATAAAAATTATTTCTAAAGATAAACAGGTTTGGGGGTTCATATCACCACTATAAATTTTTTTATTTGATGCGTAGTTTTCAATTTATAGAGCATTTAAATAGTTGCACTGAAAGTGCAAATGTGTGTTTTGGGTTCTGGATACCTCCGGTAATACTTAAAATATTTTGTATATATTATTTTCTATCGGGTATTATATGTCGGATACAAAAAACAAAACAATAAATGCCATATGTTGGCTGTTGCATATTCGTTACATTTTGCAAATGCATAAAGTTAACGATGAATTCCATCGAATTCCATTACGAGATGCCTACCATTGCGTAGTGGAATATACATATATAATAATTCAGTAAAATTTAGATCCCAAAATGTCCCTAATCGGCAAATCATAGTTGTTGAAAACATAAATTAACATTGGTACCGAATTGTCCGGTTTGAGTATTGCGCCATAACTCCGTTTTCTTTTGGCCCATTGTGTTGACATCACTCCAGCTGTCATTCTTATTCACGAATCATTTCAGGGTAGGTTTATAATTTGTAGCGTGGATTTTCTTAAAAGTATACCAATACTTTCTGAGCTTGAGAACAACCAAATCGTATTTTTTTTTTGGTAGTGAAGGAATACCCGACTACCCGCTTCAGTATAAGTAAAAAATATAATAGTTACCCAAACTTAAATTAACACCATTGAAAATGTTCGAAGGTAAACTTTAATGCAGTTGCTGGCATAGCGGTAACGCGCATGATTCTCTCGGCCCGGACACACGTGAGAAGGGTATTATCCAGTGTGACCCTACCAAACACCACAGGTTTCCCGGTCCTCGGTTTCCTCCTGTACTAACACTGAATAAACCACCCAAGCGGCTAGTAAGCTGATAAATGGCGAATATGAAGAAAAAAAATTAGACCACACATAAAATATCAGGACAAAGAACCAATCAAGACTTAATGAATTGGCTTTTAGCGACGTCTGACTCTATGGTAGTGTGAGGGTGTTATTGAGTGTGACTTACACACTAGATGAGACCATGGGACTTAAAAGTGTAATAAAATAAAAAGGCTGAAGATAAGGTTGGTACCGTATGGATGAACAAAAACCAAAGGAATTAAACATTAATTTACCACAAAACAATTAAAACATACATGTATATCAAATATATTTGTATGCACACAAACAAGTAATTTTTACCCGACAATGAGACCTCAGCTACCGCTTGGGTCGTTCGTTAGTTTAAGCTGTTCTATTTGCACGCGTAGGAATCTTAGTTCACAGACTGACGTATTGTATCCACTCTTCTCACTCTTGAACGTCATTAGTAACTGCCGAATCAATTAATATTTATTTGAATGACACTGGGTATATATCGTCGACACAACACGACGAGAGACCACAACACAGGTGTCCGGGACAGTCACCTCTTCTCCAGCACACGTTAACTGCACAAATCAGTCAATCCTACTTAATAACTAGCAACAACCACCATGTCCTCTTGATTCGATATAATACTATGTCCACACTGGAGACATACCTCTTAAGTAACGATGCCAAACAAAATACAGCGGGACCACTCTCCCTCCATACACGATTATCGAGGGCGATCCATGCAGCGTTGCCAAAATACCGCACACTCCTTTGACGCACGTTTTCTTTATAGGCAGAAGTGATTAGAGGAAATGGATTTCCTTAGGTAACTATTTCAATTTGAGATTGGTATAGTTGTAGGATAAAACAAGTTGGAAACACATTATTATAATTTATTATTATAATATATGAAACGTACAGCCTTGATGAACATTACAAATAAAATATTTATTGAAAAGAAATCAGAAACGTGACCGATCGCCCAAGCAAATGCGAGATTTTATGCCGTTTCAGAGCCGATCTTTTGGCAGACAAATCTGCACAGCATAAACGGCAGTTCGCTCTATTGGGGTTGCCCTCGACCCTCCTGAGCCAATCCTTGAATTCCTCATAGTTAAACCACGCAGCCCAAAATGTTAGCTTTGGCAGTATTGTTCACCAGGTTTTTCCAAAATAAAGTAAATGGGTTAAAAGAAGGAGAGAGGGAGAAACAGAGAAAGCGATACAGAGAAAGAGAGAGAGAGAAAGAGAGAGAGAGAGAGAGAAAAGGGGATATAGTGAACAATTATATATATATATATATATATATATATATATATATATATATATATATATATATATATATATATATATATATATATATATATATATATATATATATATATTGACAATGAGAACCAATGCATGTACAAGTTGCTTATAACTTATTTTTTAGCTTCATGTATGTTGAGTCTGACTAAAGATTTTCCAGGGAAAGAGTTAAACATGTACACAATTATATTATTACTTTTACAAGTTCAGTATTTAAGTTCTGATGGCACGGATCATACTTTAAAATAGCTATTATGGTATTGATTAACATATATAAAACCGTCTAATTTTAAAGTAAAATTGGTAATATAAAATTCTTTAATCAGTCGGTAATATTTCCGCATTGCTGCGGTGTGCGGTCGCCATATCCGCATGAAATAAGGGGACGCATACCCGTAGAGTCATATTACAATGTAGCAGACGAAATTTCCGCACTTTGGCATCACTGGATCCATTCCGCCTCAACCGCAGCTGCTGCGTCTGAGTGACTTGTGCCAGCAACCCTAACACACCTCTCAACTAAACTCAGCGACCAACTCGAACGTAACCCGAAACACTAACCCCAAATGAACCGCCACCAAACCATCGAAGCCTTAAATATGCTATTCGTTCGGGATATCTCAGTTTGGGACCACTGTGCAACGGGACGAAGAAACTGCATTAATTGAGACAATGTGAAAAGGACCTAGGTGTGTATGTTGACAATGAACTGAAGTTCTCGGGCCATTGTAAGAAGGTGAACCAAGCAACTAAATTATTAGTCTTATGAGAAGGTCGTTCAGATACCGAGACTGTCCGTCCCTCATAACGATCTGGAGTCACAGGCGTGACCCTCTTCCAGAAGATCATCTGTGAGTATCTGTGAGTAAGAGCGAGGTGCTTCCCCTCCTGGAGGACTGTCTGGTCTTAGAGATATGCTGGGGACTGACAGTTGATTGAAAATGTCCTAAGGAGGGCCACCAGACTGGTGCCTGCACTTCGACACCTCAACTACCCTGAGAGACTAACACCTGCAGTTGCCTAGCATATACTACAGACTGGCAAGGGGGAGCCAAATTTAGGTGTATAAGCATATCAAGGGACACTACTCAGTCGAGAGTCCTTACCTGGAGCTGGCAGACGCTTGCCCCACAAGGGGTCACAGCTCAACGTTGAAGATGGCGCAAGTCCAAAAAACTGGAGGGCGAACTTTTTCGGAGTGAGAGTTGCGAACTCGTGGAACTACTTGCCAGTGTTGTGACCGCACCGAATGTGAGCTGTTTCGAGACCAGCCAGACTTGACCAGCACTGGAACAGATTCTGATACAAGTAAAAGTAACATGCGAACCTCCAATACACCGACTCCTCTAAACCCTAGTCGACAAGTATGAACCCAACACCGAATCCCTGACTCAAACGAGGTCATGGAAGAGTGTACATAATTCAGCTGGACTTAGCAGCTACGACTACTGTAATTCATGAAGGAATTAACTATCAGTACCTGCCAAGTCTAGGCCAATTATTTAATGATT